GCTTAAGGGATGGAATGTCTTCGTGGAGAATTTTCTAAAGAAATCTGACTCGTATCCACGTTACACTCGGAGAAAACCACAAAAATACTCATGCATCTAGTCGTTCCTCCGGAATTGAGCCCAGGTCAAGTTGCCAATGTTCAATGACTTACCGCTCGGCCACTGCTGGGCCCTTGTATTATGCTTTTAAAAATGTCATGAAATTTAATAGCGCGATCATTTGTTTCTCTCTTTTTCTAAGAAGACAATATTATTAATTTAAGCTCTTTAATAGACAGCTTGATTATTTTTTTTTAATTAAAGGAAAGTTTACTTTCTAGATGATTGCAAAGCCCAGAAATTTGTTTTTATTTTTTCTATAAGATAAGAGCCACATTCCTAACTAGAGCTTCTTAGGAGCAGCTTAATTCAATATTCGTTCATCTGCCTTTGAAAGGGACTATATAGTACAATTTTTGAAGCTACACTAAGGGGGTAAATATGTTTTTTAGTTGAAGATTTTTTGAAAACTATTAACATTCGCGGCAAATAAAAAGTTCATTTACTGTTGACATCAACTTTCTTATCATTCTTGCAAAATTAGATGGAGTGTGATAAGGAAATGTGACACTCAGTAACAGAAATTAATCACCTCTGCTACAATGCCATTAAGGAATATCGCAATAGTTATTATGAATGATAACATACCAAATAAAATATCAAAAGGTACGTTATAAAATTTAAACGAGTAATGTTGAATGACTGTTAAATTAAAAGTATGTTTTTGGAATCGTTATATATCCCTCCCCCCCCAAAAAAATGCTGAATATTTTTCTTAATGCGTTGTTTTGACTAATGAAACTTAACTTCAGATGAACTGCTAAAAGCGCTTAGATTTCTCTTGAACATGTGTTGCTAATTCATTAAAAGATTATTTGTTGGTTTCTAATTATAAAAAAGTATATGAGGACTGTCTATATAAGGGAGGGATTGGTTCGTCTAAAACTCTGGAGAAACAAACACATTTTTATTTTACACACCTCCCGTTATGATGATCCCTTGACTTGGTGCAGTCCGGTGGTTTTCAGTTTTAGGTGCTCGGCCAATATAATATACTAATAATGCAGATATTTCAAGCACAGCGATTAAAGCCACTCTTCAAATATGCAATCCTAATTGCTAGTCACTTCAACAAAATTTTTGGGCCCTATATACGTACATTTATTTAAATCAATAAAGATAATTTAGAGCTTTCCTCTTTGTCAAGCTGGAGTATAGTATGCAGGTATGAGCGGATTTAATATTCGACGACAGGGGTCATATACAGTCTATCATAAGAAAAGCTCTCGCTAGTTAGTCTACAGCTATGTGTTGCTTTAGAAATGAGCCTTGACCCATTAAGAGGCTGAACACTGGTAGTTCGGTCCGAGGCTCGAATCCCGCGAACGAGCTGGTTGCATGGGGTTTTTCGTGGTTTTCCTCATGTGTAACGTGTATACAAGCCAGTTTCCCTTAAAAAAAGTCCTTAAAAAAAAGGCATCCCTTCCTTAAGGTAGATAGCCCTCGAGTGCTTTTCCGTAATCTAATAAACCAACCAAACCAAACCTCTCAGCCAATAGTTGCCAAACACAAAATAGCAATAAAGCAACCCTTGGTTCGTCCCTATTTGAAATATAGATAATTTAGCTCTGTTGCTATAGCGACCGCCACCTGCCAGACACTGTGGCGAAGCCGTTCTTCTCGTAGACAGACAGTAGGATGAATTAATCTTAATGTGATGCAAAATATCTGTTAAAAATTCTGTGATACCTGAATATATAAAAATACACTGCTTTTCACAAAATATAAATCAATAAATCATAAATCAAACATTAAAATTTAAAAAGTAAAAAGCTAAATCTTACCAGTAAGATTTACTTTTTCAAGCATATTATTGCTTTTAAAAGTACTTTCATTCAATGTCTTGAGTTCATTCATTGCCAAAGATAGAAACTTGAGATTCTTAAGATGATAAAATGACCGAACTGGTATCTGCTTCAGACTGTTAAATGATAAATCTAACTTTTGCAAATGTGCTAAATGATGAAAACTATTATGCTGAATGGAAGTTATTTCATTATAATTCAGTAATAGAATCTGTAGATTTTCCATACCTCGAAACCAGTCACTATCGACAGACTGAAGATTATTACCAGACAGATCAAGAACTACAAGATTGTGGAGGTTATAAAAAGCTTTAAATTCAATGACACTGATTCTATTGTTTGAAACACTAAGGTTCTGAAGATACACTAGGTGCTCAAATATATGATCTTGAAGAACAGATATATAATTATCAGATAAGTCTAAAACTTTTAAATTTTTCTGTTCAATGAAAGCTTCTTTCTCAATCATTGATATCTTGTTATCAGCAAGACTTAAGATTGTGATATTTGAAAAATGTTGGAGATCTTTCTGCTGAATTCTGTCATAAGTACCATTGCAGACACTTACATCCAAAATCTGTAAATGCTTGAATGATTTTACAGCTTCAGCAGCAGCATTAACTGAATCCTCACCTATGCATGTCAATTTTGTTTCGGTACCGGCAGATAAATCTCGGCACATGAAAACCTCATCTGATATCAGATTTTCACATTTACACAAACTGTTATGAATTATTTGCATATATATTATTTTGGAATCTTCTTCACAATATGAAACTATGAACATGGCACAGAAGAAAGAAAATGCATATCTAAAAGCCATTTTTGATAGAAACTTGAATGTGATTTTAAATTCAGAATACTGAAATTAAAAAAACAACAAAATTAATTATTTAGATCTCATACACAAAGAAAAAACCAAAAGACTAATATTACTGCATATCAGTTCAAAATGAAACTATAAATAACAAACCATTGCAGGCCAGATAGCTTGTTAAGTCAGGACATATGATTTTAGGAAGAAAAATACACATAAGAATTGTGAAAGATTTAAATTCTTAAAAATTGTATGCATCAAGAAATTCAGTAAAGATATTTTTTTAATTTATCTTGGAGTTCATCAATTTTAAAATTTAGAATTTCAAAATGAATGCAGAAGTTTCAAAGCAACTTTCTTTTTAATTAAAGAAAGGTACTTTCTGATTATCTAAATCCCTGGTTTCAACAATCAGTAGAATCATCTTTTAATATACACTCATGTCCATAAATTAAGGATAATTCAGAGTTATGCGGAAATCGAACTCTAAAATAAATATATCACCAGTAAAATCACTACACACATCTTCAAGAATCATATGCAAATTTCAGGAAGTAACCAGATGACACCGATGGTACGTCACAATGACGAGAGTGTAAGTTGGTGTATTTAATTATGGCAAAGCACACGAGGGCTATCTGCCTAAAGGGGGGGATGCCTTTCGTGGAGGACTTTCTAAGGGAAACTGGCTCGTATACACGTTACACATGGGGAAAACCACGAAAACGCCCATGCAGCCAGCCCGTTCGCGGGATTCGAACCTCAGACCGAACTACCAGTGTTCAGCGTCTTACCGCTCGGCCGCTGAACGACGAGAGTGTAAGAGAGTGATATATAAGGAATACAGGCAAAGAAGTAAAATTGTTCGCAGGCGCTTTATAAGCATTTCAGTGCAATAACCGAATAGTTATGACACAAAGGACGCATTTGGACGATTTTTTACATGGTAGAATTATCAGCCGTCTGGAATGTGGGCGTACCAAACTGGAAGTATCAGACAAACCTGGACTTGCCCAGAGTGTCATTCCCAGGCTTTGGCAACGATTCTAAGATGATGGTAATGTGAGTAGACATTACAGCACAGGTCGCCTCAGAGTTACAATGCCGAATGAGGACTGCTATTTGGCAGTTACTGCTAAATGGCCTCAGCCTCAGATCTGTCTTGTCAGCTCTCTTTAGCCACTGGTACGACAATTTCAAGGCAGACCGTGTACAGACGCTTAGGGCAGATTGGTCTATATGCTCGTAGACCTGTCAGATGCGTTCCACTTACTGCAATTCACTGTCACCTGCGGTAGCCTGGAGTAGAGAGCATGCATTGTGGACACCGCAACAGTGGGCTTGTGTGATGTTCCCCAACGAGTCCAGGTTTAGCTTGCAGTCTGATTCTTGCCGGACTTTCATATGGAGAGCTCCAGGTAACCATTACCACCAAGAAAACATCATTGAATGACACCATTACGATGCTGTGCAGGAGTGCTTGTTTGGGGTGGTGGAATTATTCTGGGTTTCAGAACTGACCTGCATGTTCAAATTGGAACCATAACAAGCCAAATCTATTGGGACGTCACTCTGGAACAACATGTACGTTTGTTTCGGGGCGCCATGGGCGCACAGTTTGTGTTTATGGATGACAATGCCAGTCGTCAAACACCGTAAGCGAATGCCTTCAATCGGAGGATCTCACCCGTATGGACTGGCCAGCATTCTCACCGGACTTGAATCCAGTACAGCATGTGTGGGACATGCTTGGCCGATGAGTTGCAGCCCGTCAACCCCCTCCTACATGTCTACCGGAACTTCGGAGAGCATTGCTTTTTGAGTGGTATAATATCCCCCAAGATCAGATCGATAATTTGATACTCAGCATGCCTAGGCGTTGTATGGACTGTATTGCATCGTCTGGGAGACATACAATGTATTAACAATCATACCAACCATGTAATATTGTTTTTTGTAAATAGGTTTTTTTTTTTTGTAATTTGCTCCAGGGAGAAAAAATCGCTAATTTTTTTAATAATATCAAACATATAGCATCTTTTTTTTGCTCTTTACCTTTTGTTTAATAAATAAGCTTTACAATTAATCAAAATTGTTTTGCTTCTAACTCTTTCTTTGCCTGATTTTGCATTATCCTTAATTTATGGACATGAGTGTATTTAATATTTGTGATATATGATTCTTATTTATGTAACAACATCCAATCACTGTATGCATATAGTACTTGTTTGTTTGAGTACTTACAGATTTACATCCTTTACATTTAGCCACTATTTTGCTAATCAGTGTTTTCTGCCCCCAAGGTCATTTTTGAGTCATAACTAATAGTAAAGGTGCTGTTTTTTTAAAATGCTTCTGTTTAGTATTATTTATTGACAGAACCTATGAACCATAAAAACAAACAAATATTTCCTGCCATTTGGAAAGAAGGCAATGAACTGGAGATTTCTCATGATGTGTAGATAATCATAAAGTTCTGAAAGAAAATTACAGAAAATTTAGCTTTATTGAAAATAAAATTTAAAAAAAGGGTACTGATGTATTATGCCATTAACTGTGAAACTGTCATCAAGCAGTGTGATTCAGAGCCACTTGCTGATAAACATGAGGAAACATCTCGCTTTTGTCTAATGTAATCCTAGCTGATTCTCAATATTCCACATACTGTTTTTGTGAATAAGGATATAAATTAACTGCTATTGTTATACTTTTATCTTGCATTTTGGAAAAAAAAAAAAAAGAGAGATAAAAATTTAGGACCTTTCTTTTACAGGACAGTAAGCAGTAGATTATTTTCAAAGTTATGGGAATCCTACCACCAAAAAAAGTGAATATTAATGGACATAATATGGTTGACAAAACAGCAATAGACTGGAATAAGCATCTTTGGGAATTTGCATTCATAGTGTTTTAATCAGAATTTCCAGTTAAATCGGGTGGCCAAACCAAATAACAGATACAGTACAAAATCTATAATCTGGACATCCATTATCCGGAATGACCTATAATCCGGACCTCAAAGCCACGAACTTTTTGTATACTTTACACATGCGCATTTAATGCATGCTTCCAATGGTGAGAAAAGTGACTGAGAGGTTATTGAAAACAAAAAATTTCGATTGACAAGTTAGTCAGTATTCTTGACACAGCAATTACAGGACTTGGTGGAATGAAGGGAAAAAGAGAAAGTAATAGCACAAAGAAACGAAACAACTTACATTGAAAAAAATGTTTAATAAAGTAAACAAACAAATCTTAAGTTTTATTTTTGTAAATTTTGATACCCTTTACTTCATAATTGCTCTTTATTTCATAAATTACGGTTTCATAATTTTAACTGTATAATTTCTGCATGCCATCTTACCAGATTTAAATTGATGATCTATAATCCAGAAAAACCCCTAATCTGGAATCGCCAGAAGTCCTGACAAGTCAGGATTATGGACTTTGTACTGCATCAACAAAAGCCTTTTTATGGAAGAGAGAAAAAACAGAGCAGGTTGAATATTGATAGTTTATGAAATAAAAAGGTGCCAGTGTTTTCAAATTCTCCAGGAACAATTAACACAACTATAGTAGAATCTCCCTCAATTTGAATGGTTCAATGATAGCCAGCTTTCATGGTTGACAGGATAATACATAAGTGCCATAAAAAGAAAAAACACAAAAAAAAATTCTGGTGAAGTTTAATTCATAAATATGAATTCTACACAAGTAAAATAACATTTAAAATTGAAGTAAAAACAGCACAAAGTCTGAGATCCAGAATCATTAGGACATTCGTGATTCTGGTATAAGGTACTTTTTCCCTCCTTTCAGCATGCCTTCATTGTGTAACTGGGGTAGTTCAGTCCAAGGTTCGAATCCCGCGAACGGGCTGGCTGCATGGCGTTTCCGTGGTTTTCCCTATGTGCAATGTATATACGGGCCAGTTTCCCTTAGAAAGTCCTCCACAAAGGCGTCCCTCCCTTTAGGCAGATAGCCCTCATGTGCTTTGCCATAACTGAATAATCCAATCCAATCCAATCCAATCATTGTGTAACTGGAAGCATGCTCAATGCATAATCAAGAGGTCTGGAGGTCAAGTCCTAACAAGGGTATCGTGAATTTTTTGTCTCCAGATTCAAAAAATTCTAAAAGACTTTACAAATGGTTTCTGAACTAAAAGTTAGTGGATGATAATCTGCCAGGATTCGGCAACCGAGTACCCTCCTCCCAGTTATCCTTCAAAAGTAAAGTGACCACATTTTCAATGAGACAAAGCGGGACAAATGGAATGAAATGAAAATTGTAATTTAGTTATGAAAGACCAATAATTCAAAAAAATATATTTTATTATATACATTCATATAATTGTCTATAATATACCAAAATTTGCAAAAATATATTTATTATTAACTATTGGTAACTCTATAAAAATGTTTGTAAAAAACAATAATTTGAATATTATGTTTTTTAATTAATTTAAAATTGCATTAAAAGAAAATTATGATTTTCTTTCATGGTCATATTTTTTATCTGAGTGAATGCTTTGCAATAGAATCAGATCATTTATTAAAACGTTGTGATTTCTCACATGAATTGGTCAAATTATATTTTACGCATAATACAGATTTTAAAGTTTTAATGTTCAACTGCATTTTTTCAATTGTCCATATTTTATTGATACTAGAAAAAACACGTTCTGTTGCTGCATTTGTTCCTGGAAGGGAAAGCGTGTATTCTACATTTTCAAAATATTTTCGTAAGAAATATTATTATGTTTAAAATGAAGGAATAACTCCCGTCCATTTTTTTGTCTGTTCCACATTTGCAGACAACAAACATTTAATTTTTTCATCAGTAACATATCTTTTTACCAATGACACTTCGTCAAAAACATCATTTTTGCAAATATTATTTTTCTGAAAATGGTTACTAATATATTAAAAAGATTTTTCCACATATTCCCTCCTTTTTTAATGTCACCCAATGAAAATATTTAATATCCTCAAATTGTCCATTCTTCAAGATATTCCAAGCAGTTATTATAAAAATTTCTGACT